GATTCATAGTGGATCAGCTGATGAGAAGGTTGTCTCCTCAACTCCTCTCTCAGTTTTTACCAATTTTATAGCGGAATCTCTCTGATTATTCACGTGATACAGTTAAAGTGTATATCAGAGCAGTTGATATTTACTGTTGACATCTTTTTTTTTTGTTATTTTAAGAAAAAAAAAAAAAAATTTTTTTTTTTTTTTTTATTTATTTATTTATTTTTCTCTTATGATATGCGGTATGATCAGCAAGTGATGGCCAGTAAGGTGCCCAAGAGGTCTCGGTCAGACGGAGTTAGCTCACCAGCCAAACAAAGGACTCGTCGCTGCCTACGAGAAATACCTCCAGTGACCAAAATGAACACTTCAGAACCAGAACCTCAGCCCCAACCAGGTACGTCTGCACAAGAAACGATTGAAGAATCACCTTTCTTTACTCCAAACCCCTACCAAGTGCTTCAAAATGACAGAGAAGTAATGGAGTCTGCAGCAATACCCAGAGAACCAAAGCCTCCTCCGATATTTGTGAAAAATATAAAAAATTTCCAGATGTTCTGCACCCAACTAAATAAAATCTGCTCTGGCAGTTATTCATGCCTTAACAGGACCAATGACACCAAAATAACACCTGATTCTGCAGAAGCCTACCGAAAAATAGTGAAGTACTTATCAGAAACAAATGCGAATTTTCACACTTACCAGCTGAGGCAGGAAAGAGCTTTACGAGTAGTGATAAGAAATTTACATTCCTCAACCCCCACTGAAGTTATTAAAGAAGAACTAACGACGCTTGGTTTCAATGTACGCCAGGTAACAAACGTTTTGAAGGAGGACAGGGAGCAGCCAGGATTACGAAATAGGATCCCACTACCATTGTTTTTCGTGGACTTGGAGCCATCACCAGGTATCGAAAAAATATATGATATCACAAGAATATACTACACAATGGTGAAAGTTGAGAAGCCATATCCCAAGAGAGACATCGTGCAGTGCCATAATTGTCAGACCTATGGCCACACGAAGACATATTGCCACCATCTGCCGCGTTGCGTGAAGTGCGGTGAACAGCACAAATCTGTAGAGTGCACCAAACCTATACAAGATCCAGCAGTATGTGCCCTATGCTTGGAGGGACACCCGGCCAACTACAAAGGCTGCCAAATTTACAAGAATCTCAAAACCAGACACCAGAAAAACCGGATTCAAGATGAAGCACTAAGAACAAGAAGAGAGAGAGAGCCTTCCAGAATTGTAAACAATGATGTATCATTCTCCCAACTACTTAGAGGTAAGACTTTAACCGATAAATGTCAAGCCCTGCCACAACAACAACCTCAAACCCAACCTCAAAATCCTCTTCATCCTAATATACCTAACCACCAACAACAAATTCCTCATATTCCTCCTCCTTCAAATGCAACAGATCTCACAAGTTTGTTAGCATCTTTCCTCACCGATTTCAAATCCCTTGTTACTCCACTCATATCACTCCTCACGAATCTCGTATCTCACCTCATCCCTCCTTTGAAAAATCCTTAAATGACTCACATCCCTAAACCCATATCCATTCTCCTTTGGAATGCGAATGGTGTTAGAAATCATACAGACGAACTATCTACTTTACTACTTGACAAGAACATTGATGTGGCACTAATTACTGAAACTCGACTAACCACTAAACAGCACTTCAATATACCACAATACCTGACATATCGTACTGACCACCCTGACGGAAAAGCACATGCCGGTACTGCTGTAATTGTACACCAATCCCTCTCCCATCACGTACTCCCATTACCAATACATGATTTCCTACAGTCCACCGCTATCGTGATAAAAACCTTCTCCTTTCCGGTCACTCTTGCATCAGCGTATTGCCCTCCTAACCGATCCATATCCAATGCCCAATTCAGTTCTCTCCTCGACTCCTTAGGACATCACTTCATCTTGGGTGCAGACCTAAATGCCAAGCACCAACAATGGGGTTCCAGAACCACGAATTCTCGTGGCCGAACCCTGCTGTCTGCACTCAATTCCCAACGTTTTCACCTCCTTTCCCCCAACTCTCCTACCTACTGGCCCACAGATCCCAACCGTAATCCTGATCTTCTTGATTTCTTTATCCACAGCGGCTTAAGTCCCCTCAATTGTTCCATTACACGTCTAAATGAACTTTCCTCTGACCATAGTCCTCTAATCCTTAATGTTTCACTTGAACCTGTTCCCAAACCTTCTCCACCGTCATTCATTAGGGGCCCAGTAAACTGGGACCTTTTCCGCCAAATAATCTCCGATAATATTGATCTCAACATATCCCTCAAAACTCCCGATGACCTTGATAGTGCCGTAAATTCCTTTACTACCACAATCCAACAAGCCGCCTGGACTGCCTCCTTCCCAAAAGACTCCTCCAGAATTCCTATAAAGACCATTCTACCCCAACACATCCTTAACCTAATCCGCACCAAACGCCGTGCCAGATTATTATGGCAACGTACCCGACATCCTACCGACCGCTGCTCCTATAATTACTACTGCAAACAATTAAAACTGGAATTAGCCACCTTCAGATCACAATCCTTCAACTCCTACCTATCCTCCCTCTCTTCTCGCGACAATTCCCTTTGGAAAACCACAACAAAAATCCTAAATCCTCACCGCATTTCCCATCCTCTCCGACGAGGTGATGGCTCCTGGGCAGCATCTGACGAAGATAAAGCTGAGGAGTTCGCCATTCACCTATCCAATACATTTATTTCACATCCGGAATCCCATCCTGCCCACACCGTAACAGTAGAAGAACTCCTTACATCACCAATCCCACTTTCCTTGCCCCCAAAAGCTATTCATCCTTCCGAAGTAAAATTTCAATTAAAAAAACTAATCCTCCGTAAAGCTCCTGGACATGATCTCCTTACACCTCAAATCCTTCGACAACTTCCATCCAAAGCAGTCATATTCCTTACATATATCTACAATTGTATCCTACGCACCACCCACTTCCCTCTGTTATGGAAACACTCCACTATTATCCTTTTCCCAAAACCAGGAAAACCTCTCAATAGCTCAACATCCTATAGACCAATCAGCCTACTCCCAATCCTTTCAAAAATTTTTGAAAAGATCCTTTTGAAACGAATCCTACCCATTATAGAATCCCAAAATATCCCTTCCCATCAGTTTGGTTTTCGCTCTCAACATTCCACTGTTCAGCAAGGACTCCGAGTTGTTGATCATATTTCCTCAGCCCTAGAAAACAAGGAATACTGTTCGGGTGCCTTTCTGGACATTGCACAGGCATTTGACCGGGTATGGCATTCCGGACTGCTCTCCAAGCTTAAAATCCATTTACCTCAGTCCTTGTACCTAGTCCTCCGATCCTACCTCTCTGACCGCTCCTTTCGAGTTCGCTGTGGAACAGAATTTTCCAATATCTACTCCGTTAAAGCCGGTGTTCCCCAAGGCAGCGTCTTGGGTCCCGTGCTTTACATCCTCTTTACTGCTGACATCCCTGTTCATCCCGATACTTTTCTTGCAACATTCGCTGACGACACCGCAATCTTATCATCCAACTCTGATCCCGAAATAGCATCCTTAAATCTCCAAAGTCACCTCACCTTGATTGAGCACTGGTGTAATAACTGGCGCATTAAAGTTAATGAATCTAAATGCCAACATATTACCTTTACACTCCGACGCAATTCCTGTCCACCAGTACTCTTTAATTCCATCCAGCTTCCTTATTCAGACACAGTCCGGTATCTTGGCTTTCATTTAGACCGAAGACTAACTTGGAACCCGCATACTAGACTCAAAAGACAAGAACTCAACCGACGATACGGCCAACTATACCGACTACTAAGCAGAAAATCTAAACTTTCCATTGAAAACAAGCTACTGATCTACAAGACAATACTGAAACCTATTTGGACTTACGGACTAGAACTGTGGGGATCAGCAAAATTTTCTAACATCAAGCGCATCCAATCCTTCCAGTCTAAAGTCCTTCGAACAATAGTCGATGCTCCTTTCTATGTATCCAACAAAACCCTACATCATGACCTTAACATCCCATTTGTCCTAGACCTTATCCCAGAAAAATTCTCCAAATTTCACCAGAACCTTACTTACCACCCTAATCCTCTTGCACAATCCCTATCAAGCATCTCCCATCCCTATAATCCTCCAAGAAGGTTGAAACGGCAGTGGCCTCGCGACCTTTTGTAGATTATATAAATTGGAGTTCTGGCAATGGCCTGATTCTTCACTCAAGACATGTGTGTATGTGGCTAAAGTGCTCTCGACCAATCTCCGCTGGCTTTAGTACCAGTGACGCGGTTGGGAGAGTAGCGCAGGGTTCTCCTGGAGTTCCCTCGCCTGATTGTATATAGGTATGCATGTGTTTTTTTTTTTCCTTAGTTTTAATTTTCTTATTTTTTAGGTTATTTTATTTTATTGTCTATTGTATATACTTTTGATTATTATTTTGTTCTATTTATTTTATTTTTTTGTACATATGGTGTGAATGTCATCCTACCTCACTATAACCAATGTCCAACAGACAGATTGTTATAATACTCAATAAAGAAATTAAAAAAAAAAAATAATGATAATTAATGGTTCAATTCAGATGGAATAGAAAATACACCAACAGGTTGGCAGATACATATCGAGAATAACGGGGCATATTGTGATTAACAGAAATAGTTTCCTATAATTTATTTTGTTTGTCTAATTTTACAAAAAACATAAACATGCATTAATTTCCGCAAAAGACAATGCATAAAAGCATTCATAAATTGTTTGATTGTTAAGAGTTAATAACATAAAACAAATTAGTAGGCTACTGTCATTATACTATTCTTGAAAAATATTAATAATGAATAAACTAAAAATTATTTTTTAATAACATTAAATTATTAAAATATATATATATATATATATATATATATATATATATATATATATATATATATATATATATATATATATTTGAAATGATCACTTACCATTTTTGACGACGCCATTGTGCAAGGCGGTGGTCATACCGTCAGGTAGTTTCTGTCCACCATCCTTACCTGCAACCATGACCAAATATTAGTCCCATCCGTTAAGGATTGCCGCAACACCCAACACCCGAGACAAGACTGGTAATGGATGTTGATAAATAGAGACGGAATAGGAGGGGAGTTGCGCGCGCTTCTGAGAAATAATCGCGGGCTCTCTAGAGGGTTGTTTTGCTATCGATGTTTCGAGGAAGGAAAGAAAAACATAAGAAGATGGATTTTTTCATCTTGTGTACAGTTTACATAACCATAAAATGTTATTATTGCTATAAAAATTAACTTAAGTTAATTCATCTAAATGTGTAGAAACGTCGACATATAGTAGATGTTACTGTGTGGATTATTTTAAAATCATCTTTAATCCTAGAGGGCTATACATAATAATAATTACACAGAGGTTCAGCTGTACCCAATAAAACAATTATTTTACTTTGTAAAATCTGTGTCCAGCCTAGACAAACATTTTTAGCAGCAAATTTTAATTTTCTGATTGCTATAAACATTTATATTTATGTTTTTTTTTTGTATGTGCGAAAAACGAATATCAACTTTGTTTCTCCCTAAAAAATTGTTTTAGGGACCAAATTTTAACGTCGGTTGGTCCAAATTGTGCCAATACTGTAGCAATCTGCCAAATATAATATTTATTAAAAAACCGGTATGAAATCTAGAGCAAATATTTTTTTAGTGAGAAAAAAAGTTGATATTCGTTTTCCCCCCCTCTTGGCAGAAAGCATATCTACCAGCTGACGATAGCCTATTAGTTGTGGGTTTCACTGTTGAGTTCATGTTGAGTATTTCATTTACAAGAATTGGACTAGATAAGCGGACCAACAGGTAATGGCCAATGAGCTCTCATTGTGAAAATTCGTCTATTTTTTACTTTTTGCTCTCTATTACTTTTAGAGCCATTCCACAACATTAGAATATTTACACCAGGAATGCCCAATAGATTATAACACAGTCTAAGTGGCCAGCAATTTGTATTTCTCGCACATGTACAGGAGTGGCATAGATGGTCCCAAGTGCCGTGCCTTTGGTTATATTGCATGTTTCTATAATTTAATTTTTAAAAAAATTAATAAAAAAGGTACATGCAAACCATCCACAGCTGTACCCCAACCAGAGTTTCCAATAACTACAAACAGCAATTAGCTATTACGCACTGACAGATACATATGTACGACTGTGAACTACAGAAATTCTTACCCTCCTGGAACATCGTCTGTGAATAACATGGAAATAGTTTGTGACCTGCGTTACGCTTGTATATCAGTGCAGCTTTCCAGATTAACCATCGTCTCCTACATTTAATCATCATCACTAGCGGATCCAGGATTTAATTTTGGGGGAGGAGGGAAAGATGAAGCCCGAAAGATTTTTTTCATATATATAACGATAATTACTTAAAAAAAAAAGAGAAAGATACTAACTACCTATATGAAATAGTCTTTAAGTGATTCTTGAATTCCTATTAAATGTAACAATAATACTTATTTTTTAATATTTTTTCCATAAAAAATTGTTATATTTTACCATTTTAGAGGGAGGGGGGAGGGTTCCATATAACAAAGCCATATAACAGAATACCAACCGATTATTTCTTAACGATTTATTAGTATCATTTTACATTTTATTACCCTTCGTATTTTCCTACTAAGCAGACTATATGCTATAAGTTGTTGCAGACTACAGAATGTTACCTTTAGCTCAAAAAGAACGTAATATTGTTGCAAACGACCTTTTGCACTAATATTAGCGATATGCTATTTAGATCTATTATTAAACTTTAATGAAAATTTTAGTGTACAGATATAATACTTGAAACATGATGTAATTTTAAATAATTAGTGTTTGGGAAGCATGTAACTATAACAAGAATTGAGCCAGAGATGACAAACCATTAAACAATAGGTTAATTATTTTTATTATATATATATATATATATATACAATATATATATATATATATATATATATATATAAATACACACATATAAATATGTATGTGGATATATCTGTGAGTGTAATTTTAGCAACTTTATTAGGACTATCACATTCTATTCTACCTTATCAAACACTATGAAAATAAAAAACAAAACAAGCCATTTGCTCGTGACCAAGGAAAAACAAATGTTTGATAAACAGACGGATTGAAACGACCACCATCTTGAATTGAAATAAAAAAATACAAACCCGTAAACACACAACGTAAAAAATACACATCCTTACCCAAATACAAATCCTTTAAAGCTTCAAGAAATATCTATGCCAAATTTCAAAAATATATGAAAAGTATGAGCTACTGAAGAATGAACTATGAAGACTAGAAACTTAACTAATGCTTAGATGGATGGTCACATTTTACTTTGAAGTTGCGGATTAAGCATTTGGTGTCCCCAGGCATGACCTTTTGAGTTCCCCATCCCCTTCTTGACAAAATTAAAAAAATAATTCAGAAAGAAAAATTAAACAATGAAAAAAAAATTAAACTAAGAAATGTAAAGGACATTGTGTATAACTTTATATTGGGATTCCATTCCATGTCTTTAATTCGGTTGCTTTATTAATAGACTATTAGCTTATCTCAAACGCTTTGTATTTTTTTATAATTATCAACCCAGACCTGTCAGAATCCTCCTTTCTATGTCTGAGATAGAAACCTCTAATATTTTACTGATTACCGCTGGAGCTTCCAGTCTTCACCGTTGGTAAACCTGAATCTGGAAGATCTTCCTATCCAGACCGGAAAGTATAACGACAACACGTTTCATTCATATTTATGACAAGATCGATTAAGAAAAAGATTTTTAGTCTTCTCGCTCAATTTCCTAGCACAATCCATTAATTTTTAGTATTATCGGATGTTGTCTACTTCCTATTGCTACCAAATTACAGAACAGTCCATTAAATGTGCAGTCTTGTCTTCCAACAACGATGAAAAGGACATCTTATATTTCAATAATTACTGAACATCGCTTAGAATTTATAGCTTGGTTCTTGTAAACTATATTATTGTGAATTATTTATCTACAGCTACAATTTATTTTTTCAATAAGTTCTCCTTGAAAGTAGTTGACATGTATTTATCATAAATTTGAAGTCGGTGGGTGTGAACTTCTGGTGAAATTACAAAGTTACTTAACGTGTCCAGATCTTCCTGGACATTATATACTTTTGAAACTTAAAACGTGTTTCGAATCTTGAAGGCAACCTTCTGTTAAGTTACAGGAGGCAGTAACCCAGTAGGTAACTAAGGTTTTGATTTCATATTGGGTCAGGCATTAGAAACTATTATTCGATTTGCTGGGCATTGGTAATTTATAATATTAGGTTATTTATATTTGGCCACGCGCTCATAATTAATAAAAGTGGATAAGTATGTACGTCTGATATAACAACAATAAAATAAACGTCAAACCATATAATTTATACTTTTACATTTTTCTTCTGGAATAAAATAAATTGCGTCGTCCGACTGTCACAATTTACTACTCATATCGACTCAATTTAACGCGCCTGTTATTATGCAAATTGTTCCCACCATTGTATCGTAAGTGTTAAGCTCATAGAGAAAACGTTTCGTAATGACGCCTTTTTGATGGCAGCTGACACAGCTGTTCAATCTATTCATTTTGTCTAATACTAATGAAACTGACAAGTCAAATATCCAATTATATGGATTTTAGTTCATGTTACAGACCCCTTTTTATCGAATTATAAACATCTGGCTAAAACTTCGTAAATAGTTTCATCTCGTCGTAACCCGCAAATATTTTTTTTTTATGGAAATTCTCGGAATTGGCGCTTTTCAATATGGGGGTCAGTAAACTTTGTTTATTTAATTAGATGCTAAAAACTCGTAAATACCCATTTGCTCTTCACTTTAATTATAAGATAACTTGAGCCCAAAGTCGAGAAAAAAGGTGGCCTTGAAAAATATTGAGCCGTTTGGCGTGACCTACACCCCCAAATGGTCAAAATAAAAAGGTAATATAGGCCAAGCGGCTCAATATTTTTGAATACCACATTTTTTCTCGACTTTGTTATTGAAAACGCTCCGATTCCGATAATTTTCGTAAATAAAATATTTGTAGATTACGATGAGATGAAGCTATATACGAAGTTTCAGCCTGATGTTAATAATTTGACAAAAAGGGTTCTGTACCACGGAGTATTTTGTATTCTTTATTGTTTAAAAAAAAATCTCAATTATTCGCGATTTTTTAAAATTATCCTTAACTTTACTACAGACACCCCACTTTTAGAAAAACATCCTAGTTTACTAAGCTTAAGTCCATATTGATTAGATTGAGGTTTATTTGGGAAAAAAATGAGATTCACAATAAGTTGTGTAAAAAAAATATGTGATTGTAAACCCTGTCTTCTAAAAGTGAAGGCGTGTTTTCAACAAAATTGACAACAACAAATTGCAAATCTTTTATCTCTTGTTTCTTTTTTTCATGATCTGGGATGTGTTATAAATAAACATAATTGCCTAACCACACTTTTTATTTCTAAAAAAAAAAAAAATGTTAAAAATAATCATTTTTCATCTGAAGTGATTATCAACTGGGTTTTTCACACAAATCTCTATCATAAGAATTGACCCGTATTCATAAATGACGAACTGAATGTTCTTAATCCTCATATTTACATTTTCATGAGAATAATTGAAGCGATCAGCATGTTTCTTTATTTTAAAATTAGGACTAGATACATTAGCACAGGTAGATCTATGGGAGGGGAGAGAGGGGAAGATTTTCGGGCTGAAGCCCCCTCTCCCCCCAAATGATAAAATATAACCATGTTTCATGAAAAAAATTATCTCTAAAATAATTATTGTTCGTCTAATTACATTTAATAGGACTTAAAGAATCAGTTAAACACCATTTCATATAGGTAGTTAGTTTCTTTCTTTCTTCCGAAGTAATTATCCTAATATATACACCCAAAAAAAAAAAAAAAAATTCGGAGTGAACCTCCTCCCTCCCCCAAAATTAAATCCTGGATCCGTTAGTGAGAAACATTTATGTCGTTACTTAAAAGATGGAATGATTTCTATAATAGAGATCT